GAGGGGAAGGGGAAAAACAAGTCGTTTAAATAAGGATACAGGTGGACCCGTTGCAACAATGAGAAGTACAAGTTGTCATGTCGAAAACAAACTTTACAACTTTGGTGGGGAGGGGGGAGGATTAGGTGGGGGGTTGGGGGAGGCTGGGAAGGGATGGGAAGGATAAATAAAGGAGGAGGCTACAATGCTTGATAAGAAATATACTCATTATCCTATTGTTATTATTGAGTTTCAAAATTGTGTTGTTTTGCCAGGCAGCCTCATGAGTAGCTAGGATTATAGGCATGAACACAGGCACCCAGCTGGCTCAGTACATTTTAAGTGTGACATGGAGACTAATGAATCAGAGCTACATTTTTTAAGGACCCTCTAAGGAATCAAATAAATTTTTTTTTTGGTCTGTCATGGGGCTTGAACTCTGGGCCTGAGCACTGTCCTTCAGCTCTTCAGCTGTCCCTTAGCTCTTAGGTCAAGGCGAGCGCTCTACCACTTGAGCTACAGCACCACTTCCGGTTTTCTGGTGGTTTATTGGAGTTAGGAGTCTCATGGTCTTTCCTGCCTGGGCTGGCTTTGAACCGCGACCCTCAGATCTCAGCCTCCTGAGTAGTTAGGATTACAGGCGTGAGCCACCAGTGCCCGGCTCTTCAAATAAAACATTTTTAAATAAACTTTCCTCTCTAATTTAAATTTTTATTTTGTGTCTTTTCATAATATACAGGTCAGATTAGAATGGTAGCACAATAAAGTATAATTTAATGTAGACCATACTTTTTGTGTGCATATATGTGCTGATTCTGGGGCTTGCAATCAGGGCCTAGGCACTATCTCTGAGTTTTTTTCTCAAGGCTAGTGCCCTATCACTTGAGTCACAGCTCCAATTCTAGCTTTTGGATGTTTAATTGGAGATAAGAGTTGCATGGATTTTCCTGCCCAGGTTGGCTTCAAACAGTGATCTTCAGATCTCAGCCTCCTGCGTACCTAGGATTATAGGGATGAGTCATGGGTGCTTTGCTTTTAAAATGAATTTTTTTTACTGTGGCTTGCTATTAAATTTTTTTTGCAAGTCATTGTTCTAGAATAACAACCTCAAAAGTACCATATATATCAATCTAAGTGAGATGGAGTCTCTCCTCTGCTTCCGAAAACTAAGTGACAGCAGGAGACCGCTCCTTCCATTCCTCATGGCACTAGCACAGTGACACCTAGCAGCAGACAATAAAAGTTCTATTAAATCAACCTGAGTTGGTTTCTTATTGGTTTACATATTTATTCACCTAATATGTCAGAGGTACAATGTCACATACATGTGGTTTTATCTATAATGAGAAACGTGTAGTCTAGTGATGAAAACAAAGGTTATGTGAATATAAAATTAAAACAATAGCACAATATCTAATTGCAAATAATGCTGACAGTATATACTTCTGCCTCAGTATCCATGGATGGGGTTCAGCAAGTCCTGACAACACCAAAATCAATAAACGCTCAAGTTCCCCATATACAATGATGTAGTATTTGTATAGAACCATGCACAACGCCCTGCATACTGGAAATCTTTGCTCGATGACTTGTAACACCAGAAACAATGTAAATGTTACATGGATCTTGAATATATTCAGTACATTTGTTTTCTAAATATATTCCATGTGCAGTTACTTGAATGTACCATTGTAGAACCAATGGATTTGGAGGGCTAACTGCAATCGGGTTCCTCATGTGAGACACAGGAAAGGTCTCCAAGAAGAGAAATGGAGGCTGAGTAGACTGAGAGGCACAGAGCCTTGGAAGAGAGGACAAAGGCCATGCAGTGGGAGAGGAAGACGGCTGAGCAGATGGCTGGAGGGCTGGAGTGGGAGCGAGGGAACAATCTAGAGAAGGACCAAATTATAACATGCAGGACTTTATTGGATATGGGAAGGCTTTGCATTTCAGGCTAAGAAAAAAACAGGATGGCATCAAGAGATCATTCTAAATTCATCCACAGTGGATGGATGAGACCAAGAGAGGAGTCTGGGAGATACCACAGGTGGTTTGCCAGTGGCTAGGCTAAAGAAATGAAGCTGTCATGAACAGGATGGTCTGAGCAGACAAAGGGGTAAGGGCCTCCTTCCAGCAGGGGCCACTGTAACTTCCTGTTCTGAAGGTTTCATCTTTCAAGGGGCTTCCTACCAAATCTGTCACATTTTCAGAACCACTGTTCATGCTACCCTCTCCACTGAGATGCTGTTCTCTCCTTTACACTTGGACGACGTTACTTTTTAGATTTCACAGAGAACCATTGCTTTAATTTGGATCTAGAATCTCCCCTAAGGTTCAGGCATTAAAAAGCTTGTTCCTTTTGCTTTAAGAAGTGGGGCTGAGGGGGAGATCTTAGGTTACTGGGGGTGTGTTCTTGAAGGGAATGGTGGGCCTCTCCACATCCTCTTTCTCTCCCTGCTTCTCAGCTGCCACCACATGCTTCAGCCATGATGCCCTGTCTTGCCACAGGCTCAAAAGCAATAAAGCCCACTGATCATGGACTGAAACCTCCAAAACTGTGAGTTACAAATAAGCCTTTCCTCTTTCCAAGTTGATTGTCTCAAGTGTTTGGTCATAGTAATAGATCTTTACCTGCTTTAGAAGGATCCCCTTAAACCTTGACCACTTCGTCCTTCATTGTGTGAATATGAGTTGCAATTATTTTATTTCATTTTTTTTCTTTTTATACCCCCCCACTGGAATGTAAATGTGACGAGAGCAGAGAATGAGAGGTCATGCTTATTGTTGTGTCCCTGTGCTCAGCCCAGAGCATGGAGGGAAACAAAATCCAGCAATCTCAATATCCCTCAAAGATCTACAAATTCAATTTCAGGAGCTCTATAAGAAGTTGAGTGCTATGACTTAACAGTCACTTAGCCTAAACCCAAGCACAGACACAAATAAGCACCCAAATGGTAAGGTAAAACTTCCTCCTGGATTGGCCTTTGATTTTCCTAAGAATGGTCTGCGGATTTTACAACTCCTTGAAGTTCCAAATCCTACTTTGAGAACCACTGCCTGGGTGGTTTCCACTGAGCCTCTTAATGGAAAGATTGGGTGTGTATCCGCTCTACTGGTAAGCTTTCAATTGGATGATATACCATGAGAATCTAAGGTATTATTTCTGAATGTCCTCCGTGAATATTATACACAGACCACCAAAGATGATAAAAGCACTCGTTTTAAAAAGTGCATCATTAGGGCTGGGAAGGTGGCTCAGTGGTAGAGCGCTTGCCTTGCATGCTCGAGGCCCTGGGTTCGATTCCTCAGCACCACATAAGCAAAAAGAAAAAAGCCGGAAGTGGCTCTGTGGCTCAAGTGGGACAGTGCCCAGGCCCAGAGTTCAGGCTTCACGACCGGACCAAAAAAAAAAAAAGTGCATCATTATTCTGTATCCTCAACAGCTCAACAAATGTGAGGTAATACTTCTTGCACCCTGCTAGCACTGAGGCAGGGTAAACCTGCAGAGGGTATAGATTCTGCATTCAAGAAGCCTTTCCCAGTCTTTTACTTTCTTTGATTACACTTACACTATGCAGAGTAAAGCTAAGACAGAAATCTAGTTGGGGTAAAATTAGGCAGTTGCCAGGAAGAAACCCTTCCTGTTTGTTGACCATCTGACACATTTCATTTTAATATACAATACTAAACTCTCCGCTTCCACCTACCCCCGCCCCCGCCCCGCCCTCCCCCCGACCCCGGGGTCATGGGACCTGAACTCAGCCTGAGTGCTGGTCCTTCAGCTTTTCAGCTCAAGGCTAGCGCTTTACCACTTGAGCCACAGCGCCACTTCTGGCTTTTTCTGCTTATGTGGTGCTGAGGAATCGAACCCAGGGACTCATGCATGTGAGGCAAGCACTCTACCACGGAGCCTCCTTCCCAGCCCAATACCAAACATTTTTTTCTAATGAAGAAAGCCATTATTTTTGCAGTATAGATCTTTATAGGACACCTGCCTCCTCCATCTGCTTAGATGTCTGTTTGCTGGGGCTAAAGACCTGAACTAAGGAGTCATGTGCTCTGTCCTGGTGGCAGGAAAGAGCGTGTGCAATGAGCCACTCACGGTTCCAGAAGGGGGCCGTCTGCCAGTGGTTGTTGTCATGCGTGAAGCAGGTGAGGCCCGGCAGGCTGCATTCTTCCCCTTTCCTCTGGCGTCTCTTCTCCTTCCTCTCTTTCTTCCTCCTTCGCGTCTCCTTGAAAAGTTGCAGTTTGCTGTCCACTTCTTGAGCAGCCTCCCTGTCCCAAGAGAAAGGGTGACCCAAGGTCCTTTCTCATGACAGACGGGACTGTTGTTAGAAGCCTAGCACAGTCATGTCGATTCACGGTAAATGATACACGGAAGCAGAAGAGCTTCACTTCGCAGAGGGCCTCCACACAGAGTGAGCACGGTGGAGTTAGAACTATGTCAGAACCTTCTAAACCTAACAGGATCAACATCCTTCCCCTCATTTATGTGCAAGCACCGAAGGGCCCAAACGTCTCATGCATGCACCAGTGGACCCCGTTAACCACACTCTTTAGACAGATGGCATAATTTGGGGGTGGTTCAATGCCATAGGGTTAACGGTTGATCAGAGCGGATGGCTGGAATAAAAGACTTCCAAAAAGATCATTCGGTAAACTCTACAAAATTGGTTTGGAAAGCTGATTTAAAAAATTCTTGTCATAAGGCTTTTGTTGAGGTTCAAAGAGCAAATCACTTATACAGGTAAATTTTGCTATTGTTTGAAGTATCTGCGTGTTTCCTTGTAAGGTCAGAATACAGCACCATTTCAGGCGGCTCTACTGCGCTCCTAATCCTAATCACCTGTCTCTGACTCAGTTGCTCTTGACAGAAGGTATTCTCAACATGGGAGGTACAATGTGCAGGCAGAACTAGAGTGGAATCTGTGTGGCTCTCTGTCAAAGATTCCAGAAGCAACGTAGCATCATAGAGTTCCTTGTGGGAAGTGTTGGTTTTCTATATCTTCCTTCCTCCCTCCCTCCTTCTCTTCCTTCTTTCCTTTCTTCCTCCCTCCCTCTCTTCCTACTTCCCTCCCTTCCTCCCTACCTATGCTAGTTCTAGTACTTGAACTCAAGACCTTATGCTGTAGCCCAGTTTCATTGCTTAGAGCTGGGCTTTATCACTTGAGCCATGTTTCTAGCCTGGCCTTTTGCTAATTAAGGAAATAGTCTTGTGGACTTCTCTGCCCAGACGGACTTGAAACTCTGGTCCTAGCTGGGCACTGGTGGCTCACACCTGTAATCCTAGCTACTCAGGAGGCTGAGATCTGAGGATCTCAGTTCAAAGGCACCCTGGACGAAAGAGTCCGTGAGACTCTTATCTCCAGTAAACCACCAGAGAACCAGAAGTGTCGCTGTGGTTCAAGGGGTAGAGCGCTCACCTTAAGCTGAAGAGCTCAAGGACAGTATCAAGGCCCAGAGTTCAAGCCCCATGACTGACAAAACCTAAAAACAAAACCCACCAAATTGTGGTCCTCCACATCTCATCCTCCTGAGTAGAGTACCTGACTGCGCTGTCCACTTGCTCAGCTACAAGCCCTCGGGACAGACAGATCTGCCTCTTCCAGAGCATCACCACTTGCAGCACAGGGATTCCCTCAGCCTCACAGAGGACAAGGACCAGCCCTTGACAACCAGCAAAGGTGGACAGATAGGAGTTACTTACTTGAATGGGTGAAGATGGGTCTTTAATTTCTCTTGCCGTTTGACACCTTTCTCTTTATTGTAATAGCTGCAGGCCAGAAGATTATAAAGTGAGTCATTATGACCTTGCCTTTGAGCACAAAGTGCGTTTCATAAAAAGAAAGCAACCTAGAGGGCAGCCAGTTACTCAAGGGACCCTATTTCAGCTTGGGGAGATGGATTCTTTAGCTTGCTGAAGTTCTGTGGCTCACATGAATGAGGCCAGTGTAGCACAGGAGTGAGCATGCAGTTGAAACAAACCAAGTGACTATTTTGTACATTTTGTACATAGATGGCTCTGTGTTTGTTAACGAACTGGTCGTGTCCCCCCAGCTTGGGTAACACTGCCTGCGGAAGAGGACCCCAGCCACACGGTCACCTCTGCTTGGCACAGCTGCATTCCTCGGGCTTTCTTCTCTTCAGGTGTCCTCTAACCTCCCTCAGATTCTTAATCTTATCCTGCAGAGCTTCGATCTGGAAAACACACACTCCAACAGTGAACATCGAAAGGGAGGGGTTGCTTTTGCCAAGTAACTTGCTTTGTATTGTTTGCTGTGCTCTTCAATTGTAACTATGGAAGCTGATAAATTAATTTGGAAACAAACTGGGCACAGAATACCTCTCTCTCTTTCTCTCTCTCTCTCTCTCCCAACCTGGTGTGACACAGATAAACACTCACAGATGCCTTTCTAACTGTCATTTTCTTCAAGAGGTTGCAAGTGATCATTGACTCACTTTGATCTTTGAGTCTGTATGCAGCAGGGCTACCACTGAATCACTGGGGAGAAAGATAAATACTTTGATTTCCTCTTTTTTATGTAATAAGGAGAATGGTGATGCATATATACAGTATGTCCCTGGCCACAGTAGGGCTGGCAAGCAACCAGGACATGGAAGATAACTCCTGTCTGTGCTGACATCACTATTTGTTTGCACTGCTGTGGGTGGAACCCAGGCTGCGCATGTAAGGTGAGTGCTCCGCCCATGTCATGCTCTCAGCCCCGATGCTGACCTCTTTGTCAATGTATGCCTTGTGGTCTTTCCAGGCTCTGGCTGATTGATACAGTTCTCTCTCACAATGGATTGTATCATTTGGGAGAATAAAGCACCTGCAAAACATACACAGAATAAACAGGTTGACATTCCAATATATTTTTTTAAAACGTGGAGTTTGCAATGAAGTTAGCAGCCTCAAAAATCTTACTGTAGATATAGAGTGAGTTTGGAATAGACAAAGGACAATGAGAGTGTGTCCTGGTAAAAGATGTTGACACAAGTCTAAGACTAAGATCATCAGTAAGATTTTCTTACAAGGCAGCTTTTCCTATGCATGCTCTCAAGCTGGAGACAGTGGCTCATGCCGGTAGGCCCAGCTGCTCAGAAGGCAGAGGTCAGGAGAATCAAGATTTGAGGTCAACTAGGGCAAAAAAGACTCCATTTCAAGTGATAACTCTCATCTATCATCTCAGCTCTTTGGAAAGCATAAATAGGAGACTGAACATAAGTGGGAAGTTGGATGTATAAAATAGCTTAACAAAACCAAAAAGGTGTGTGTGTGAGTGTGTGTGTGAGTATGTGTGTGTGTGTGATACTTAAGTGATAGCGTGCTGTCTAGCAAGCATGAGGCCCCAAGTTCAACCTTGAGTAGCACAAAAAATAAAACAAAACAGAATGTCACCATGAACATGTTCCACTCCCAAGCCCATTGTTAAAGTATACATATAGAGAGAAAAAAAGATTTTTTTTCCATAGTCACAATGCAAATGGCTTATCTGAAGAAATAATACAATGAGAAGAAATGCATTCATTTCAGGCATTTTGTTCAAAACAGCTTGTCTTATGTACGCCACTAATCATTTTGAAAAAATTATTATTATTCGTGTGTGTGTGCGTGCGCGTGCGTGCATGTGTGTGTGTGAGCGTGTGCACGTGTGTGTGTGTATGCGTGTGTTGCGCACGTGCGTGCATGTGTGTGTGTGCGCGCATGTGTGCATGCACACATGTGTGTAAGTCTTCGCCTTGGGCCTCTTGCGCTCGGCAAGTGCTCTACCACTGGTCTGCACCACAGGACACCAGCTCTGCATTAAGTGCTGAGACAGGAAGCGGTGCAGTGCCAGCCTTGAGCAGAGCCCCTGAAAGAAGGTGAATGAATGGCTATGGCTCAACCCATGATGATAGAGAAACAAATACTAGTGTCAATCTCTTAGTTTATAACTCACAATGATAAATGCCCGGAGATCAGACCAGCAATAAATGTCCTGGGTGAGCTTATTACATGCTCCAGGCCTCCAAAATAATGAAATTAGGGAGAAAAGAAATCCTACCAATAAATTCAAAAGGGTTTTCTCTCTTTTTCTTTCATCCTCTCCCCCCCCCTTTTTCTTTCTTTCCTTCTTTCTACCACTAGTGCCACAGCTCCACTTCTGGATTTTTGGTGGTTAGAGATGAGAATCTCATAGACTTTCCTGTCTGGGCTGGTTTGAAACCAGGATCCTCAGATCTCAGCCTCCTGTGTAGCTAGGATTAAAGGCATGAGCCACCAGTGCCTGCATTTGAGGAGAAGCCAAAGAATCAAGAAGCATTACAGGTGTGGCAGAGGCCCTTCCCTTCCCTATGTGCCTCGCAAGGTCCTTTCCGACCTCCGTAATCTGGGACACCTAGGCTTTTCTGTATCTTCCATACCTTCCTTCCCTATGCTGCTTTTCTAAACTCTCCTTCAGGACCCACAGTCCTCTCTGGGGCTGTGTTTCATTTCTGAGATCATGATGACACAGTGCTGTAAGTGATCAGACCACGCAGCGTGGAAGAGCCCCCACCCGTCCCCGTAACTGTTTCCATATGCTCCTAGACGCCTACAAAGGTAATTATTTAGTGGCAGGAACTCCAAGCCTGCTAAATCAAGACGTGACAGAATGACTCTGGCTGGATTCCCAGCTGATTAGCCTTAATATGAAATTGAACTGGAAGCACACGTCCTTACCACCGGTGGTTATGTAGGCCAGCCCCACCCAGAGCTGCCACTTCTTTGTAAAGTGCAGAACGGAAATCACAGGGGACCGGGGACAATGTCTATGTCCACCCTAGTGCACTTACTTGTGTGTCACGTGGACAGTGGTGGGTGGGCCCACTGCATTGCTGCTGTCTGCCAGCATCTCGCCCTCATTGCCACCGCTGGCAGCCTGGCGGCTGCCCAGCCCACTTTGGCCTTCATCATGGCGTTTGGCAAGGCTCCTTGGCTGCAGCACTTGCAATTCTTCTTCTTCCAGATTTATGTCATAGATTTCGCCTTCAAATTCCACAGACAAGGAACGAGTCTGCCGGGTATGGACAAATCTGGGCTTATATTCTGGAAACAGAGGAAGATGGGTTTGTGTGGGTGAGGAGTGAAGACACTGATCACCTGTCCCCGCAAGGAGAGACACAGGCGGAGCAAGCTGCACAGCTGTGGTCACTGCAGCTCTCTGGACAGCCATGGTGTCTAGAGGAGCCGGGATGAGGAGCCATGGGCTTCATCTGGCTGTGCCAGCCCACAGAAGGGGGACGGATTTCATGCTTCTCTGGGCCTCAGGCCCTTCATCCCTCAAGTTGGGGGAGGGGCAGTCTTGGTAATCTCTAAGACCCTTTCTTTCCATGCTGGGACTTCTGTGTTTATCTATGGTAATTTGGATAAAATTATATTCCTAATTACAGTATTCATAATAACTTTTCTTCACTGAGTTGTTGCTGTCTTCTATACCAAGTATTATCTCATATCTATCCTCTTAAAAGGTATGATTATAATAAATCCTTACATAAAAATATACTGGATTGTCCTGGTAGGCTCATGAAATCGATGTCATCATTCTCATTTGATGAATGAGAAAACCAAACCTTTAAATGTTCCGTACATTTTGCAGAAATACAGGAACTACAATTGGGCCCGCTCATCATCAAGTGACTTTTTTTTTATAGCTGGCAGATGGAGGGTGGTGTTCTTTGGACCCCGGAACATTTGTCAAATAATTATCAGGTCCTAAAGGAGACCCTCACAGGGCAACACTGGGCCCCTGGTTAGCAGACACATTTAGTCTGTGGAGGCTCAGGCATCTGGCCTTAGCTACCCACCTGCTTTGGAAACAGGAAGAAGAGGGAACAAAGGCTGGGCTTTGAGACAGTTCTTCACAACTCTGCCATTTCCTGATGGTGAGTGGCCTCCATGACAGCAAGTGACTGAGGATTTCCCAGAGTTCAATGTGGCATCTTGCTCTCTACTATCCTAGATTCCACCATTTGAAAAAAAGCTCCCCAGGATTCCTGCTTGTGCCCAACATTGACATATTCATGTGTTTTATGGTCAATGCTTGGGCAGTGAGGCCTAACTTTCTGGAAGGGAAGAGGAAGCCTCCTACTTCTACGCTGCATTTTTGTAATTTACTTTTGTCCAAGGACTATGTCAGAGGACCTCGTCCTTTGTTGGTTTTACATTGGATATTCTTGTCTGAATAATTTAAACTGGGCTTATTTTTCCAGGAAGGAACAATATCTAAGTCAATGGTTCTTAGTTTTTCAGGTTATGGGTTCTTTTAAGAACTCATTGAAATGATTGACTTTGAGAAAAATGTGCATCTACACAGAGAATGCACTCAATTTTGGGTGAAATACTAAAGATTCATGATCCTAAAGCCTGTTTTGATTCCACAAAAATGCCTGCTTGGATGTGTGTGAGCTGGTACTGGGACTCAGAACCTCATGCTCTAATTTTTTTCTTTTCCTCTCAAGGTTAGTACTCTACCACTTGAGCCAGAGCTCCACTTCTGACTTTACTGGTTAGGGAGATGAATGTCATGGATTTATCTACCCCAATCCTCACATCTTACCTTCTTAACTAGAAAGAATTACAGGCGTACGATACCAATGCCACGATTAAATATTCCCATTATTGTCTGGTATGAGTCCACCCTCCACCCCCCCAAAATCTGGACACAACTGTCCAAGACACTTATTTCCAAGTGACTACAGCAAACAACCGTGATGGAGTTGAGCCACTTTCCCATTAGTCCACTAGATGGCACTAGAGCCTCACTCTTCAGTGGAAGGTGTCATTCTGTGGGCTCTTTATTTACATAATCAGGTATTTCAAAGCTGCCTGAGAGTTGAGTTTTTTTTCCTTCTTCTATATTTTAATTTATTTTTAAAATTCTATTTTTATTATCTTTAAGTAGTAGTACAAAGGAGTTACCATTCAACAAATCAGATTATACATATAACACATCTGGATTGATGGTCCCCCCTGCCGGATAGCTTTTCTGAAGGAAATACCAGACAGTGAAGTTCATATTAAATTGGGCTAGTTTGACACTGCCAATTAATAAGTCCAACGATATGACAAAATGATATATATATATATATATATATAGTGTTCTAAAATGGATTAAACATATCTTTTTAAAGGTTTCTTATCCTTTTTGTCTTAACTGCACACATAATGATACACTGGATTGATTTTTTTTTTTAATGAACAGTTTAAGGCAGATAAAGCAGGGCATTAATAAACTCCAAGGTAAAATAAAATGGACCTAAACTATGCCCCTTTCCCTTTGGGAGCCATTCCACGGCTGTTGCATGTGCATATGTTTTGCATCTAGTTCTTAACTAAATATATTTCTATTTTTATGTTTCAATGAAACTATTTACAGTGCAAAACTTCCAATTAATATTAGCCTTCTCATTTAGAACATTGATTTGCTTCTAGTCTGAAAACCACACACTGATGCTATCTGTGGAAGAAGCAAGCTTTTATGTCCTTGAGGCCTTGGCTGGCCACTGAACAGGGTCACAAGGTGAAGGCTTACTGGGAGAGGCCTGGCTTCTCAGGAACTGCCTCTGACTCTTCCTCTGGCTGCGGCTGGCGCGATAGCCATTCTCGCGACAACTGCACTCCTCTCTGTCTTTGCCCTGGAAGCCTCGGGAGTAGATGGTGCGCGTGCTCTGGCGGACGGGGAGCAGGTCGCTGGGTCCTTTGCACTTGTGGATCCGAAGCTTGCCAGATGTGTCCTCAATGCACTGCCACTTCTGAAAAAGCAATGGGAACACAGGTGGTATTTATTAAGTGCAGTCTTAGGTGTTTTTTTTTTCTTTTTTCCTTTTTTTTTTTTAAGCAGCTCTGGCAATACCATTAAAGTACATGAATGAAGAAAGACAATCTTTTAAGTGATCCTGCAGGGACTTCATTTAGTACTTTCTTCCAACCTGGGCAAATACAGATGCCAATGAAATAATTGGAAATTAGAACTGTCTCAATGACACTAGAGCCAAAAACTGATATATGAAGCCCCAGCACCCAGACTAAACAGCCCTGTTCGAAACACGGAAAAGCCCTTAGCTTTCCAAGACACAGGGACCCAGCTGTCCGGGCTGTTTTTAACAGAGGACCCGCCCCCACCTTCACTCCTCTTTGGAAAAACAAACTTGGCTGCTTTGTTCTCCACCCTTGAATTTCATTTTCTTTTGTCTCATTTCTCTCCTCCTCTTTTCCTCCCTCCCTCCCTCCCTCCCTCCCTCCTTCCTTCCTTCCTTCCTTCCTTCTTTCCTTCCGTGTGCGCGCGCGCGTACATGCATGCATGTACACAGCCATCCTGGATCTTGAACTCAGAACCTGGGTGCTGTCCCTGAGCTTTTACTTGCTAGTGCTCTATTGCTTGAGCCATGGCTCTGCTTCTGGTTTCTTGGTGGTTAACGGGATAAGAATCCCATGGACTTTTCCTGCCTCAGCTGGCTTTGACCTGGGATCCTCAGATCTCAGCTTCCTGAGTAGCTAGGATGATAGGGGTGAGCTACCAGGGCCTGGCTCCTGCCTCTGAATCTCTCAGCAGCCAGGGCAGAGTGGCATGTGGAGAATACAGGCCAAGCAAACTCATACTCCAGACGTTAATGATCTTGGGTTTCTTCTCATCTTTTCTCATCCTTCTACACACCTTGCCCATGACAGCTGTGTTGTGGACACTCTTCTGAGGGAGACAACACCTTTCCCAACAAATGCCCCAGGGAAGTAGCACTGGGTTTCCTAGTTTGAGATTTCAACTGCAGCTGCTACTAATACTGCAGGGCCTATCTAATCCATAGGACTCACTGGGCACTGGTGGCTCATACCTGTAATCCTAGCTACTCAGGAGGCTGAGATCTGAGGATCACATTTCAAAGCCAGCCTCGGGAAGGAAAGTCTGTGAGACTCCTACCTCCAATTAACCACCAGAAAACTGGAAGTGGAACTGTGGCTCAAAGTGAAAGAGCTCTAGTCCTGAACACAAAAAGCTGAGGGATTACCCAGGCCCTGAGTTCAAGTCCCACAACTGACAAAAAAAATCCACATGACTCATCAGAACTAAGAGTCCTCGACACTTCTCGGGCATCAATCTAGTTGAAATATTAGTTCTTTGTCGTGGGAAGCATTTCAACGGATCCATTATATTTTGAAAACCTGAAACTTCTTTTACTTTTAATTTGCCTTCCTCTTCCTTCCTTGGGGAGGTAGGAAGAATATTGGCTTTAACTTGAAGTGATGCAAGCGATGAAAAAGTGTAGTGTTATCAATAAAAGTACCACGTATGTACCCTGTCAGTACTAGAGCGTTCACTCTCTATCTTGTTTGGCTTTTTTGCTCATTGGTGGCGTTCTACTAACTGAACCATGTCTCTACTCCCAGCTTTTCACTGGTTAATTCGAAGAGTTTTGTGATTTGTGAGCTGCAGCTGGCTTCAAACCTTGATTTTCAAATCTCAGCTTCCTGATTAACTCGGATTCTAAATGTGAGACAGTGCCTAGCTGATACTTTAAACGCAAATATATAAACTGTGGCCAATGTAATGATATTTATGCTGTAAAGTTATATATGTATATGTATGTATATATATATGTATATATATATATGAATGTTTTAAATGTTGCATGTTCTCTCAATCTGTTGTCCTGTTGTGCCAATGCAATACTATTGGTGACTACATGACATCTTGCATGCTAAGCCTCCTAATGCAAAGTAAAGTCTGGCCATGGTTCCTGGTCAAATGAAATTTATGCACACAATGGCACTTAAATATTAGTGATGAAGTCCTCTATGGTTTATGTGAAGGGAGCTGTACATCCTCAGTACATATTGATCAGGGCTGCTTGGGTACTTAAGCTGTGCAGTTTCCAGGTCTTAGATAGACAAAGTTTGCTGTGAGTTTGTTGTAGTGAAATCTACCCTCTTGATGTTATTGTGGTTTTTTTTCCCCAAGCCATCTCAAGTCATAATCTTCTTTCAGTGTTTTCCTAACATGTCTTGAATGTTGGGACATCTTATCCGAAGAAGCACGCATTCAAGAGAAGACTACTTACTGACAGAGCCACGGAAGGGCAACAGAAACAAGATTAGTCTAAGGACTGAAGTGGAAAATTTAACGAAAAGAAATCTCCAATCAGCTGGGTATGGCAGTTTTCCCTGTAATGACAGCAGTGTGGAGGCAGGGCAGGAGGATCTCAGCTTCAAAGCCAGCTACAAATCAAGACTCTTCCTCAAAAAACAACCAAGCAAACAAAATATAACTTGTTTAGCCACAAGATAGTTATGTCACATGAGTGTCTCTCAAACTTAGCCAGATACTGTGATTTTTCAGAAGCTTTCTATGTGATCCCAAGCTGTATCTTAGGGTAAGAGTCACTGGCTCCTGGACCTCTTGGTCCATGGGGGAAGGCAGACGGGATATACTGGGGTCTACCTAGTGGGAGGTATGAGTCAGAGAAGGACATAGGCATTTGTGGGCATAGTGAGTGTAGATAAAGGTGGGTTTAGAATATGGTGATGTTACAGCTCCACAGATAAGTACAATCAGCACATTTATACTTTAGGACATGTACTCTATTAAGAGTAAACAGTTTCCCCTGCTCTCTCTTTATAAAATTGACAAGTACTTAGATTTAGCTGCAGCTTGTATTTCATCTGTTCTAAGATTCTGCAATTGAATGTGGACAACATTGGTTTCCAGTCTGGCTTTGTGACATCTATAAATATATTTAGTTAGCATGAGAAGTTCTTAGAAATCGAGACAACTCCATTAAGAAATCACTGCGTTTTATCTTTCTTGTTATTGTTTTTAATGTATTTATAATGTACCATGTGATTTTTTGGTTTTTTTTGTATGTTCTTCCCCCATAGTATAACCCCTGTTTTTACTGTATTTGGTTCCAGTGCCCTGTATCTTGTATCTGCATTCTTCTAGTTTGAGGAGGGGAAGGGAAAAAACAAAATGATGAAATAAGGACAAAGGTTGACCCCTTGTAACAATGAGATGTACAAGACACTATGTTAAAAACAAACTTTACAACTTTGGGGTGGGGAGAGGGAGAAGTTGGGGAAGTGGGAGGGAAGGGATGGTAGGGGAAAAACAAAGGAGGGGGTAACAATGCTCCATAGGAAATGTACTCATTACCTTACTCATGTAACTGTAACCCCTCTGTACAATATCTTTACAATAAAAAATATACAAAAAAGAGAAATCACCGCGTTATACATACATTTCTTGATGGAATATTTCTATACTCGTTTCTGAGCCAGTTTGGCTCATTCCCAGACATAGAATTCTAGAGTCCTTTCTAAAATAAAAACAAGTAAAAGAGTGTGTGTGTGTGTGTGTGTGTGTGTGATCTTACTAGTGAAGCATTTTACCAAAATAGCTCACTCAAAAATTTGGGAAAACTGGGGGGGGTGGGATTGGATGGAGGGGTGGGGAGGAGGCTGGGAAGGGATGGGAAGGGTAAACAAAGGAGGAGGCTGCAATGTTTGATAAGAAATGTACTCATTATCTTGCCCATGTAATTGTAACCCCTCTGTACAGTATGTTCACAAAAAATAAAAATTAAAAAAAAATTGGGAAAACTATTGCTTGGATATGTCTGTTTATATCTCTATCTGGCTGCAATCTGAATTATTTAAAGCTTACCTATCCATCTGGGTAATCTCTGCCTCCAGCATTTGTACACAGTGACCTGTCTGTTCAATGCCTGTAGTAGCAAGACTCATGATTCACAGCCAGTAGAAGCTTCAGAAGTACTCGGCTGTTTATCACATAAAAAATGTGGCCCTTCTTCTATGGTTTCAATTTATACCAACTTTGGTGAGGTTACTAATTTCATTTTTATTTATCTTTTTGGTGCCAGTACCAGGGCATCAACTCACAGCCTGGGTGCTGTCCCTGTTTTATGTTTTTTATTTTGGGGATTTTTGGTTTTGTTTTGTTTTCCTTAAGGCTAGTACTCTACTACTTGAGCCATAGCTCTACTTCTTGCTTTTTAGTGCTCAATTGGAGATAAGAGTCTCACAGACTTTCCTGCCTAGGCTGGCTTCGAAACATGATTCTCAGATCTCAACCTGTTGAGTAGCTAGGATTATAGGCATGACCCACCAGCATCTGGCTACTAATTTCATTTTTAATATGGGGTCTCAAGTTCTGGGCTATAGTGATTTTTCTGATTCTTCCTTTTGTGGTTGGGACAACAGGTGTATGGCACCCTGCCTTATCAAATAGCAATTTTTAATTTACCTGACTATAGCAAAAATAGCCACATTAAAATTTTTTGCTTTTGTGGTCAGAAGAGCTGATGGCACACAACTCTATAGAACACAAGATGTAGATATAATTTTTATTTGCTTAGTCAATTAGGAATCCAATCCATTTTCCTGTTAATCAAATTCTCTTGATTTTCTGTAATAGAGACAAAGGAAAAGAATATTTCTTTGCTGAAGAGTGAATTTAACCATCTTAGGTGCATGACACTGTCTGTGCAGCAGATGATAATGTATCCTACAAAATTTAATATGCAGCATATATGAATATATTTGTATACACATTCCCACACAGATATACACATATTTACACAAATACGTGAATAAGGCAATAGCCACTGGAAAATGCCCATTTTTTTTTCTACCACGGACTTTCTGAAAAAGCTTCAGATCCTATTAGATCAAGTAATTAGCCAGAGGCTTAGAACGTCTTCTTAGTGGTAACGTGTACTAGGAATTCCAATGGATTATAATT